GATGCTCCACCTTTCTTCATCGTCAGCGAATCTTCTAATTGGGAAGGTTTTGCTGTAAATTCGTTATACTTTGGTCGAAAGCTTTGGACGTTTCTTCGCTCGAAGGAGTTTGTCGATTTATGTCAGACTCGTTCCGCCCGTATAACGTCCTCGATATTTTATTTTGTTTTTTTTTCGAGCGAAAATCGCGCGATATCGCCGCGTCATCCCATCGTAAGCGCACACTTGAAATAGCTCACGAGACGTATTGATAAGTGTGCAATGGGAGCGCGACAATCGCCAAGAGTCAGATTAACAATGATGAGCATCGCGTCGATGCAATATCAAGCTCGCACGACATAAAGCATTGCAAATTAATGAGCATAAATTCAGAGCTCTCTGGAAACAATGAAGCGGAAAATTCATGCCGATTAATTTTTGAATTATAAAAGTACGCGTGGCTATCTGCCACTGCTGCTACTTCCACGCTTCGAACAGTGCCGTCTATCAAGCACTCGTGTGCAATCAAATTCAGTGTATTTCAATGGAACATAGCGATGCCGAGGACGAGTGCATTGCGACAAATCAATCAACGAGAATATTAAAGGCCTTTCGTCGTCGTTCGTTTGCACACTCATATTTTCGTTTGATCGAGCGCAAAGTGTAATTGCACGCACCAGGATTCTTCGTTCTTTTTTTCTCTTTTTTTTCACGGCGAGTGTTTGTGTACGCAGGGAAGGGTCTTTCTTCGTTTACGTTCTCGCTTGGGATAATAATTCTTTGTCGTGTCCAGTGCACGCGCGCGCGCACATAACGCAGACCGCGGCTTCATATCACGCCGAATTAATTTTTCCTGCACTAGTTGCTTCGGCCGGACTGATTGAATGCCGCTTTTGTTTGAGTTTAATAACGTCGCGCTTTAGTTTTTGCTGTCGCGCGGCCCGCGGTTTTATGTTTGAAGAGCCGAGTGGCACGCGCGACAACGAAAAGATTCGTTTGACGTGGATTCAAATACCCATTGGTTTGCTCTGTGTGCTCGCGTGTGTCGCGTAATATTTGCTGCCGCACGCGCGCATTTAAATAGACGCATAATAGAATTTTCCAAACGCCAGCGCGTAATGCATCTGCATTCGCGACAAAAGCCAGAGAAACGGCGGATCTCGAGCGTTATCGCGCCTCACTTCCTCATCCAGTTCGGCGAGTGTATTTCAATGCCACGGGATTAAACGAACGGGATTGGGCATTATCGTCAGATAGACGCGAAGCTATAACGCGCCGGTGTTTAACGGCGCGCACGTGTACGCGTGTTTATGTGGCTAGGTCGGATAGCGAATTAATTATTGCCATTTCAAAGTTTCAATGTCTCGTTTGGCATTCTCCGGAGGCGGCGTCGGCGCCGGCGTTCAGCCATGGCGTTCCACAAATGCTTCATTAAGTCAACATGAGCTCTCTGTCTCGATGCGCGCGTCTGTCTATAGCTTGCGCCGCGAGCGTTAAATGCATTGTTAATGAATTAGCTGGCATGCGACCATTTTCGTGTGAAACTCGCAAAGAAATAATCGCGGCAGAATCCAAGCGAATTGTGTGTGATCGTTGAATTTCTCAGCACGTGCCGCAACCGCAATCATAGCGATCGTAAGATCGAGGCCACAGCAGCATATCTCTCTCTCTCTCTCTCTCTCGCTCTCATGATTCAGCAGCAGCATCAAGCGCGCTTGCGGAAAATTTCAATTTCGAGAAAGAAGCTCCAGTGTTGGTCAAAAGGCCGGGGGCGTGCTGTGAATCGTACCCGCTCTGGCGTCGATATGTACAAAAGTCGCAAAAGCATTAAGATCTATTCTTCACGATTGACCTACTTTCTAGTTTCTTCTTCTTCTTCTTCTTCTTCTTCTTCTTCTTGCGTGTTTGTTCGTTCGTCCGCTGCAGCTTTAATCCTCATATATACGCGTTGCAGATTTCATGCGAGAGGGCGGTAAAATTAGCTTAGGCCAAGTTCGTTGAGCCAGAGAGGGAAGACTCAGACGCTTGTTTTACAAAGTGGATTTCGTTGTCAAAGAGCGCACATACATACATAGTGAGTCGCAACAAGGATACCCACACACACGTGCCCCTTCGACAAATCCACTTCTCAAAGGATCAAGCTTGCAAATTACGGCCAAACTCTCGTGGCAAACTCGCATATTTCACGTTTGATACGACTCGCTCTATGTAGCGCGGAGTTTCTCGTGCTCTCTGAATTGCGCACATGCACATCCCACGCGCGCGCACACGCGCGAGAGTGAGAAGATGACTAAAAATTCGCGAGCTACGGATTTGCAGAGAGATGTGCGCCAGCTTTCTCTTGCGTGACTGCACAAACTCGACTTTGTGTGGCCATGCGAGTTTTACGAACGCGCGTGCACGTGTGTTTAGCGCTAGGGCAAAGTTGAATGGAACGCCATTGGCTATTCCGAGTGGTGGATGGTACCTTACTCATCTCACGCATCCAAGTTGAATTTGAAAAATTTTTTCTATTTACCGCTAGCTCGAAACTAACTCGGGTATACATTTTTCAACGACGAACGAACGTGTAACAATATTTCCGCGGCTACGAGAAAAGTAAATTGCGCGCCGCGGAAAATTTCCTTATACACCCCCCGCTCCCTCTTGCTGCCGCAATAAAACTCAGCAGTCATATACTTTGTCCTACATACACGAGCGCACGAAACTCCGTCCCCCGACAGTTTGCATCATGAATGTCTTTTGCACTCTAGCGCGTAGCGCGCGCGTGAACGAAGAAAAACAAAAAAAAAAAGGAGGCCCGCCCGTGAGCTGTCGAGAAAAAGCGCGTAAATATTTGACCGACATGAGCGCGTGCGATACTCCAAGTAAAACAATTCGCTGTGGCACATTTCTTGAATGCAACTGGCTTTTCGCTCTCACTGTTTATATCGTATGCAGAGATCGAAGAGTTTGCGGGCGTGTAGCCGCGGCAACGCGTATAGGCCGCAGATACAGATCGCAGTTTCTCCTCTGTTGACATCCATTGATCACGCGCATGAATAATTGATGGATATATGCGTAGTTGCCGCAAGGCCGGAGAGAAAGCGAGAGATAGCCCGCGCGTGTGAATAATGCATACATCCGGGCAAGAATATGCGCCGCAGACGACGAGGAGGAGGATTGGACTAAGGCGACATAGAGTTGACGTTCGACGTGCCACCGTCTAATGAGACTCTCTCCCTCTGTGTATCTCGGGTTTGTTGCCACTGTGCACGCATACACGCACACATCTACGTTGGGAAATAACGAATCCGCATCAAGGCGAGAGCTCTTCGTTTTCGACCTACTTCCTCGAGGGCCTGGGTAGACTATTTTTCCGGGCAAAATTAAACGCAAATATACGCCTAGCAGAAATACATCGGTGTACCGCCGGATCGATCCGAAGACAAGACGAAGCTCGAACATCCACCCCCTAGGTGGATTAGGAAACTTGCAGGTATATTCGGGTCCGTAATTAGTTTTACGCGCGCGAAAGAGGATTAGCGTTGGGTTTTGAGAAAAGCTATACGCCATGCTGAAACAAGCAGCCTGATTTCATTTTTCCGCTTTATGAATTCAATTTTCGAGCGCTACCCTCTCGATAATGCTAGAGGTAGCGTCTCCGACAACGCCCGAATGCTAATTTTCTATTGGATACTCGCTCGGGCTCGCAAACTTTTGCTTTTGTTTTTGTTCCTGCTTTGTGCGAATGCTGTTATAGTTTTGGGGATTATCGGGCTGATTGGTATTTCAGTATTGTTGTGCGAAATATGACTTTTTACTTTCGAAATATGCAGGGACATCATTTCGTTTGCTTTTCGGCATTCGAATAAAAAGAACATTCTCGTTGTTTCGGCCCTGTGAACCGATACGAGTTTTCTACCAAAAACATTTACGTCTCGTAGTATCGCTTAATATTGAAATATTAATATATTTAATTTTATCGAATTTATTCTACTTTCTGCGCGAACGCAATTTTTTTTTGTCGATCCGTTCTACAAAAAGAAGCAAACGAGAAAAGCTCTACGTCGATTCTCGTTTTCCAAGGCGATTTCAATCAAATTAACATAAGAGAGAAAGCTTTTCATTTGAGAGGGCATGATTAAGTTTGATTCCTTTGAATAAAAAAAAAGAAAAAAAAACATTCGTGACAACAAACGATCTTCCAATCAAAGACAACTTACATCAACGACTTTCTCTTTTTCGAAAAGCTGCTTTGATGACAGAAAGGCTCATAAAGTCAAACAGAAATTAATTTCCCCTCGTCGAAAAAAGAAGAAGGAGGAAAAGAAGAAGAGGCATCGAAATGAGAGTTGTTCGTCGTGTCTGGATAGGAAATGAGAGGCGCGACGCCGAAGAAGAGAATCGACCGTAGCTTCATCGGATTCCGGCGGCAAGAGCTAACTCGATCACATAGACTTGGTAGCGTGAACGAGAGAGAGAGAGAGAGAGAGAGAGAGAGAGAGAGAGAGAGAGAGAGAGGCGAATATTTATCGCTTGCTCGCGTTCTCGTGGAGCCTAATTCCTTCGCGCCACAAAGCCTATTCCCCTCGGCGCAATTTGCGCGACACCTCAAAGAAGTCTTCTCTCTGCGATATTGTCTGGGGGAGACGACGCTTCGCCAATTTCACCACTCACGGAGAATATTCTTTCAACCGACGACGCGGACGCGACGTGATATTCTTCGAATTGAGTTTTGTTGGGAATAAGCGTCATTGCCAGGGCCATTGTGCGACTGAAGTCTGTCTGCCTAGCGAACAAATAAAAAAGAAAATGATCGGGCATAGGATGTTTTTTTTTCGTCGTCGTCGCCGTTGAAAGGGTGCGTCTGGAGTAACAAATGTTGCTTTTTTTCATCGTTACCCGATCGATATTCGCGAAAGGGACATTCGATGCGCGCGATTTTCCCTTTATTATTTAAATAGCAATGTGCAATTCACACTGAACAGAGACCAAAAGAAATCTAAAATTGAAAATCGTTTTCGCATTTTATTTTTCAGGTTCGGTGAACGAAGCAGGCGTATTGACCTTGCGCAATGGCAAGCAAGAGAATGTCGCTAGTCGGCGGAACAGACGAACAACGACACTGGCACCTTTGTCGTCATCATCGCCGTCCTCGGAGCAGCAACAGCAGCAGCAGCAGCAGCTGTCGAGTACTCTGGGCGTGACGAGGAATGGTGCGACGACGACGTCGAGTCCCCCGACGGATACCGAAACGTTCGTCGAGCCCGCGGCACTTCTTGCCCCCGAGGATTGGCGAACCAACTCTTCGTCTGGTGACAGTATCTCCCTGTTACAGACTGCTACTGAGCAGCCTATCGAACTCGTTGTCAAACCTCTCAGCAAGGTCGTTTTACCTTGCGAACTTGAGGGAAATTACACCAGTCTTTTCATGACTGCTGTTAGGTGAGACTTTTTCAAATGAATCTGATACACATCGAAAAATATTGTTGGCATAGATTTTCTTTTGAACGTACGATGGAAAAAATAGTGAAATATTTTTCTTTTGTCACCTAAAACTTACCTACAATTGACGTTAAATATATTGAAGCCGAATGCATGAAAGAGAAGCACATGAAAAGATGGAGAGTTTCGATTTGAATTCTCGATAAAATCGGAGTGAACAGTACAACGTCTCCTTATGCTCTTTCAGGAGTTTTCATTTAAGTTTGTTTGAATCTACTGCTATTAAAATTGATTAATCTGTATGTATAACTTCTTGGAAACAAATATTTTTAATTTTTTTATTTAAACATACTTTGGTATATAATTTGGTTTCGACCTGCTTTACTATATATTGGAAGTATTTATTAATTGCACGTTAAAGTGCGTTTATTAAAAGCAAATTTTAACTAACATTCAATTTTTCGTCGTCGAAATTTTCATCGAAATTGCGCATTCTTGAATTTTCTCAATTGTACAAATTCAATTCGACGGCTATTTATCTACAAACATTGTACAGATGAATATATAATAAACGTATGAACAAACGAAATAGAAGAATTTCAATTTTGATGTAAGAATAACGCAAATACTAATAATTTGTGCCGCGCGTTTTCGACTCGATATATCTTTAATAAATATATTTGAAGATGAAGGGAAATGGATCGGTCGATAATCGATAATGAATAGGAGTTACAGAATACGTCCGGCGAGTTGGTTGCACGAAGGTGTCGCCGTGGACATGATAACTATTGACACAAGGACGGAAATGAGCGGGACGGGACATCGTTACATTGGCGACTCGTCAACGGCGGCATTGCACATCGACAACGTGAGACTCGAAGACGATGGGACCTGGATCTGCCAACTAGAAGACGACCGAGGTAAACTGGTCGTTGGGAGACCTGTCAAACTTGTCGTTCTTGGTGAGTTTTCGTTACCATCTCTCTCACTGCATGTTATACACCTAACTTTTTGATAAGTTTGGGACACTAGCCTTTGAAACTGTGTCATATCCTCATTTGACTTGGCGAACCTTTGCCTTGTAGATAGGACTCTGAGATGTACTTGCGGAATTATTTTTTTCGACTTGAAACTGGATTGCGGAAGTATTCTCTTGAGAAACAGAAGCAAGAGAATATTTTTTCCGAAAGTTTTATTTTCAATGAGATTTTTCTTTCGTCCGGGACTTGGAAATGCTCTCATATACATACCGTAGCGTACAAGTATCCACTTAATCAAGTTCTGCGAGAAATACTTGACTGCTTGCTGTTCTTAATATTGCAGTTGTAATTAATAACGAAGAGGTGGGCTTAAGATTGCCAGTTGTATCGGAATAAAATGTTTGTATAATAATTTTAAATATCAGAGAATCACAATCAAGTGAACGCTAACAAAGTTTGTCACGGCGACAAATGAAATTTAAGGGTGATCGTCAAAATCCATCGAACGCAAAAAAATATTCTACGCTTGGAAAAAATATTATGTCTTTCAGCATTATTGACGTTCTCGCTTTAAAGGTCCGTCATAAGCGGTAAGGAGCAACAACAGCGAGCCAGCATAAGCGGCGGTATATGCACGTATAACGCAAACGCTTAGGGCGGTCATCGCTTGTGCGCGTATTATGGTAAAGTTAAATTGAATTCCGAGATTCCTTTGACGAGACCCCGCCGATGCATATTAATCCTTCTCTATACGTCTGAGCGATGAATATGCATAGTATCAACATTTTTCCACCCTCTCGCTCTCCTTTTCGAATTATGTATAATATTCTCGTCCATCCGCAAACCACTTTTGTGTTGAAAGTGCTTTGCTCTCTTTCTCTCTTGTGTTTCGGTTTAATCCACTTTTCCGCATTATTACGCTATTGTTTTGCTGAAAGAGGGCGGAATATGAGTGTTATTCTTTTTCGCTGTTACACCGCGATAATTTTAGGTTTTATAAAGGGTCGGATTATGATACGCCAGTCGAGTTACTTGGTAGCCGCGAGACCTCGTATAAAACTTTTCCAACATTTTCGCTTGAATCGTTAAATTCGCAAAGTTTGATTTCCACTTTGGGTCTTCCCGACGACGACGACGACGCCATACCTCTCATACCGTATATTTCCAAAAGTTAATGCTTTCCCTACTACTCCTTTTTTGTCCGATAAGTGTCTATAAAATTTTCATTCTTTTAGAAAATGCGAGCAAAGTTGTCGCGCCGAAAGATTTAAGACTGCTCGTAAACTACCATTGTATTTTTCATAAAATGTCAGGTTCGAACTTTCTTTAAGATATGTGGGGTTCATTATCGTTTGCAGGATATACGATAATTGATACTTGTTTGCTTTCACTTTCAAATAAAACGAATTTTATATTTTTGAATAATTTTCCAAGACTTAATTAATGCAATTATACTGATTTCTAATTTGTAAAAGTTGGGTCAGACAGACTACTTGGAAGTTTCCTTGAAATTTTTTACGGACATGGGAAGACTCTTTTAATTTTCAACTTCCAATAATAATTAACTTAGCGAAGTCCTCTATCTAGTCGGGTCTGTGATAGCAAGTTTATCGTCTCTAAAATAACTACCTATCAAAATTATAAAAAGTTGAAGAGCTCACTACGCGAGGTAATATGAAACATGGAAAGTTCTCATTGTAGTTGAACCTTTTATAGAATTTAAATAAAGGAGAGAGATACGACAAGTCGTCTTATCTAAAACTGAAAAGTAATTTAATTTTGAAAGTTTGAAGCTACCGTTTCATATAATATTTCTTACAATATTGATTTTTGATTTTTGTACTTTGATAACTTTGTTCGCGGATATTGCATGAACATCGATGAGATTTTCACGCATTAATGAGATAAAGTACTTTATTACGAAAATCAAGTCTTATAATTTCAATATAAATGTAATCTTCGCGAAAATGAAATAAAAGTAACGAGCTCTCTTCAATTTTTTGGATAAAAACTTTAAAATTACTTGATGTAACTTTTCGTATTATATCCAAGCTATAAATATAGAAAATAAAAGAAAACCGACATCGCCACGAAACTCGTACAGAAGAAAATCAAAGCAACGTTCGCTAGTATTTTTTTTTTGTTAATTTCTCCAGAGTGTCATACAAAAGTCAATCGTCCACGAAGGAAAAAGGGGGAGACTCGACTGACCACTGTCTTCCTATCTCGCGAGAAGAAAACACAAACTCACCTGCGGGCGGTAAACGAAAAAGGGAGCAAATTGGTAGAGGACTCGTGGGAGACAAAAGTGTAACCGGATAAAGGTAGCGGCGCGGTCGGCCCTATTAAATCCCAGTGTAATTTTTCCTCTCTTTCGTGTTCTCTGTCAGCAGGAATTCGATTTACAGCTCGTCTGTCAAGCGCCCCGAGAGCACTGAGATTATCCTCCAAATAATCTCGCGAGAGATTCCACTTAGTGTTCAATCGATCAGGCCCCTCCTGTTGCCGCGCGTTTTTCTTTTTCTCATTCTCGACTTCGAAACGACGACGAGCTTGGCTCCGTTCTCTCTAAACTTTCCTTATTTAGCCGCGAGGCTTGATTCAATCGACGCAATCAAAGTGTCGATTGCCCCGCTCTCCTTTCACGGAAAGTAGCTTGGGTTATTTGCATTTGACCTTTGATTGGATTTAACTTCTGATGATTTGGCAATTGATCGAACGTGTTTTGTGATCCAGGGTAGGGATATCGATTGCTTTTCGATTAGAACAGGAAACTGCCGTTTTCAAACTAACTCGTTCACTTGTGCTGGAATCAAGTTGCAATGAGTTGTTCCGCAGAGCGTTAATAATGAATGAATTGGTAGTTTTGTTGGGATAAAACGATTGTCAATCACATTGAATATACGAAATACCTTCCTTATCGATTAAACTTGCGTATTTCACAAGAGAAAATATAATCCTGATAAAATCCGAATGATTGGAAATTATTGAAACGTAAAATAAATATATTTTTTTAGTCGGAAATGTTTTAAAGTTAAGTATTCCAAGTTAGTGATTTGCTCGGTCTAGCTTTGGATGAAAGTTTTATTACAAATCAACAATTCACAAAGATGAACATTTGCGCCATAAATATACGAAAGAATAAATAAGAGAAATAAAATGAAATACAAAATAAAAGCAAGAAGAATAAAAACATTGCAGTTCCAACCTACACAGCATATAACGTCGCGCGAAAAAATTGCTCAGTCTTGCAGTATAAGTTTAACATGCACGAAATTCCGTATGCGTAATAATCCTGACTCTGATGCTAGCTCTGGAAACGATAGGGTAAACGAGCCGTAGCGACAAACGCGCGGGTGGTGGTGGCTTTAGCGTTATGACGTGGTAGCCACGGCGGCACTAGCATATAATGGCACGAGCGGGAGATGCAAATTCAGCACGTGCGCCGACTCCGCAATCGTAGTATATCGATGCGCTTTTTGACGCGCCACTGTCTAAACCAACCGCAATTTATGATCTTCTCTCTCGACCAAAAGCTCACGCGAGGGCGAGGGAGATGGCCCACCGAGTCTTTTTGTGTTGTTTTGTTTTGTTTTTTGAAAGCCAGGCCAAGATTAATTTTCTTTTTATTCATAAGCCAAAAGCTCTCAGTTTTCACGCGCTTTTTCCTCTCTCACTACGATATGTGAGAAAGAAATGGGGCTTGAAAAAACAGGATACTGCAAAAATTTTTGAATAAAAATAGACAATTTCAACTCGATCAAATAAAAGTCGAGCAATAAAATTTTTCATTCGTATTTTCACGATTCTTCTGTATAACAGTCATAATTTAGATTTGCTGCTCTCATCACCACAAAATCCGTTCAAAATATATCATTCTATGACAATAAATAGGCAGTACAATCAGATTACGTTTGAGTATATCAGCCCCGGAATAGAAAGAGAGAGAGAGAGAGAGAGAGAGAGAGAGAGAGAGAGAGAGAGTGAGAGAGAGTGAGAGAGAGAGAGAGAGAGTGAGAGAGAGTGAGAGAGAGTAAGAGAGAGAGAGAGAGTGAGAGAGAGTGAGAGAGAGTAAGAGAGAGAGAGAGAGAGAGAGAGAGAGAGAGAGAGAGAGAGAGAGAGAGAGAGAGAGAAGTAAATACTTAGGCGAAATATGTCATTCGGCCGACCACTAACCGGCCGTTGATTGGCTCTCGGAGTAGAGGGGCAGTAATTAATGGAAGAGCCGTGTCGCGGCTGATTGCCTTCGAAGCTCTGCTCTCCTCTCGGTATATAGCAGCTACGCACTCGAGGTGCCAAGCTTCGTCTTTGACTTGAAGCGAGAGGGATGAGAAGCGAAAGCGAGCGAGAATTGCGTTTCCGACCGGGCAAACTAGGTCAAACTGGGATCTCGAAAAATCATCCACTGTGCTGCTGCTGACTATTACGAGAAATTTCCCCCACCATTTTCCTCGTTCCATTCTGTCTGCAGATGGTTAAATATTTAGTCAGCACTATCGGGCTTTTCGCTCTAATTGCTATTCAATTTCGCGAGTACGTGAGAGAGAGAGAGAGAGAGAGAGAAAGAGAAAATTTTGATGTGCGGCTGACTAAAGATTTACTTTATGTACTGTCATTTTATGAAATACGATGTAATTGTCAATCAAACGCTATTGAAGGATTATGTAAATGCCGAAAACTTATTTTGTTTACATTCTCTATTTAGCATCTAATTCGTAATCTTTAAACACCAAAGAGCAGACGTAACACAATAGGATATTCCTGGAAAATAGGAATATTTCATTAGAAAGGAGGAAGTCAGATGTGCTCGTACATGCATGGCATCAAAGTCGCGTTCATGCGGGATAAAAGAAAAGAAAAGAAAGAAAAAAAAAAGATCAGAGCCGTCGAGCACCAGTCACAAAGGTAACACGGACGCGCGAGATTAAAAAATTCGAAATGAAAGTCGCGCGGGCGCATGTAGAAGGCAGCAGCACCGTTGT